TTTTTGAAAGGAATTAACACTCGAACAATTTTAAATATTACTCTTGAAAGTACGAAATATATTCCAGAGGCTAGAGACGAATAAAAAATCTCGATAAGGCTAAAGAATTTTCATTGTAGCTAATTTTAGAAGTAAATTTGTATTGAGTGTAGTGTATTATTTCGAAATAATGAATTGTATAAAGACTAAATTATACTTGAAGATTTCAGATTTGTTTTCAAGTTTCAATAAGTCCTATTGCGTATGAGGACTATGCGTAACTATAATCATCATTATCATCAATTGTATCATGTTATTCATTCAGTTAAGTCATTAAGCAGAAAAAACATGTAGTTTTGTCTGTCAATTCAATAAATTTAAAAAGATTCTATATTGGTTTTTAACCGAATTCAAAAAGGAGGAGGTTTTCAATTCGTCGGATTTGTTTAAATGTATTTTCGGGCATAACATATATAGACGGATTAAATAAAAAATAAATAAAAAGGGGTTTATGCCGAAATGGTTCCATTTTAATTTCAGATAAATATGAAAATGAGTTTCGGAGACAGACTACGGAACTCTTCAAAAAATGACAGTAATCCACCGCGATTTCTGCTAGGTTTTTAGATAGACTTTTTATTGCACACCATAAATAGGATACATGCGATGATACATAAAAAAAAACATTGATACAATTGGGGCCTTATCGCAGTCTGGTTTTTAGTGCTCTTTGTAAGTATTGTTTAAAGTCGGTTCAACTTCTTTTTAAAAAGGATTTATCTCTATATTATTGTTCAAAGTATAAAATGTTTACTTTTGTGTTGTTATCAAATACCACTTGTTAGTGTGTCAGTAAATAAAGCGTAAATAATAACAATATACGCAGGTATACCAAGAAATACTAAGACACCCATATTCTGGCATTTTAATACATATCTCCATGAGATTCGTATCTTTCAGCAGTTCGAACTAAGTGGTTTTTCAAACACTTTTTATTTATACAAACGATTCACTCGAACATGCTTTATTACATTCTTGAACGGACTTAAAATAAATGCACATAGCATTTATTTTACGTACATTGTAAGATAACCTTGACCTATTAATGATACCAGTCGATACCACTATTCGACTCACTCATTTAGACTGATCTGTAGAGCTTTCTAGGCTACGTCTGGCATGTCTGGCCACAGAGCCCATTACCAGGGGCTTTTTTGTCATATTAAATAGAATGGAATCTAAATTTAAATGTATGATCATTTCAATTATTATGCTTATTATTTCACCTCTTCATCATCATCATCAACAGCCTTTAATAGTCGACGGCTGGACATAGGCCTCTCCTTAGAAAGGAGGTTACTATACCACGCATGCCAGACGGGTTGGTATAGGGTTTGTTTCAAGTTTTCTTTCTCACTGCAGTGCTGTTGTCCTGCGTAGTTTGCTCCCTTAGTCGCATCCTACGACACTCACGGGATTAATAGGGGTGGTGACACTGTGTATTCCTAATCCGTCACCAGACGGACAATTATTTCACCTAAAATAAGCATAATCGGTGAATTTTTTGCAGGAATGGTGGTTGTTGTAGTTTTTTTTTTTTAATAAAGTAAATGAGGTAATGTTACCATTAACTAAGCTTAATCGACTTTGAGATTTAAAAATTGACCGTCTCTTCAAATCAATTCGGTCAGATACGGGCTAGGTTAGCTTAATCATTTTGTGCCTGAACGTTTAGTTCTAGTTGACATTACGAGAGTCTTCAATCGTATCCATTATTTCTTGTCGGACGATCTCCTACGAAACACTAAAAATGTTCTCATCTTTTCTTGATAGACTTGCTACGACAAATGCTTACGATTGAATCTAGGTTATAAAGTCCCTTAAGGCTCTATACTGTTTCTTTTTTGTATTATGTAAAAGGTAAAATCTAGAATGTTCTGTGAACGCTCTCAAGGTCTTTCTAGTTTGGATATTTAATTTTTGAACTTAACCACAGATACCAAAAACTGGGTTACTATAATTTTTACAGTTAAATATACATTGGTCAACAACATGTTTACTGAGTGACGGATCGGTATTTTTAATAATTATATTTTTTGGAAGCTTGCCTAATTATACGATAATGTTTATCGGAAAAACATTAAAAACGTGGAAGACATAATTATTGTAAATCCAGATATCTGGGAAATGTTTTTTTGCCGACAACACGTGTTTGTTTTTCTGTTTTAAATAAAGTTTATTCAGCTGGTATGTTAGATTAGAGCTTTTGACAACAAAAGTAGGTCAATGGAATTTTCCTTTTTTATGATAAGAAGGGGGCAAACGACGGCCAGGCTCGACCGGAGTGATAGCACGGCCTCGTTGAAAATCGGTGTCGAGCAGTTCTTTCAATGCTTTTCACTGGGGGACTGAGGTGACTGCAACCAAACCCTCCCCAACCTCCTGACTCTGGGTACAGGTACTGAAAAGGTGGCAAAGAACTTGTGACTCTGGAGTCGCGGATGCCCGTTTACCGTTTAAGAACCAGTTTAAATTTTTTGTCTGTCTGTTTGTTCGTGTGGTGACGGATTAAGAATACGGAATGTCACCGTGTCAAGTGAAGGGAGCAAACTACGCAAGACAACAGCACTACAAAGAGAAGGAAAACTTGACACAAACCCTATACCAACCCGTCTGGCCAGCGTGGTATAGTAGGCCAAAACCTTCTTTCTAAGGAGATGCCAATGTCCAGCAGAACTTTTACCTTAAATTTAATAATATTATTTACCATAAATTACAAATTATTAGTATAGTGAACTGTTTTATTATCTATTAGAGTTTAATCCTATTTATTATGGAAAAAAACGGGTTTTTGTTGTGGTGATAATATTTATTTTTCAAGATATCTTGTAAACGGACGCAAAACAAACAACTTCGAATGTTTCTGAACGTCAGAGATGTGTGTGTGATTGGAAAATGTAATGAAATCTCATAAAAACCTCGGATTGATTTAAAGTGATTGATTTTAGAATTAAGGTACAATATGAGCGGAGTAGGTAGAACATAATAATTACACCTTTCATGACGTCAGAATTACAATTGAAAATGAAGCAAGTTAAAAAAAATATTTTCAAGAATTTAAGCTTTTGAAATATATTTTTTCTGAGAATTCACACAGACTTTTTTCTGTGAATTTGAATTTTCACATTGCAACTTTGAGATTAAAATTGTTACATAATTAAACCTTGACTTATAAAAAAGTTTTAGATTGGTAATTTCGTATCCGCATGTGATAAAAAAGATAAAATACCAATGAAACTTATGCGTTAACGAAACCTATTAATAATGGTACAGCTTTTACATTTAAAGCGTATTAAGGCTATTAAATAAATAATTTTATTAGTGATTAAAAAAAAAATAGTTAGATGGTTCACGACATGCGACTGACGATGAGATTGTCATTGGGCAGAGGTCATAAACATTTCGTGGTGACGCAAACCACCAGCGATTTTTTATTTAAAACATGTCAGGGGTTGCCAACTATTTTTATTACGCGTTACGATAGCAAAATCATAAAATAAACAGTGTTATAATTTTTCTTGCGATCAAATGTCCGTAGGTCGGTACCACGTGATGAAAATGAATGTTTTGTAAGACAAGGCTATAAAATTTTCTTGAAGAATGTCATATTTTGTGAGTGTCAAATATGAAGATAAATTAGGCTTTTTAGAAATGAGGCGGCGCGGACGCCAGTTTTTTGCCACATCAAAGAAGTTTGTCAGCCCGGAAATAAATTATTATATATTAAAATAACTTTATGACATCAAAAAATAGGTTAAACACACGTTAAAACAACTCAAGATGACGAATGTTTATTTTTTCCAAGTTTTGTTAGGTTATAATGAAAAAATTGACTCCGCATAATATGATTATGGCTATAACCATAATAATAAAAGCAGTTATATCGATTATAAATTGTCAAAACATGAGACAAGTTTCTCATCAGAAAATAGTAATAATTTTGTATCATTATTTGAAGTGGATTCTTTTGAATATATTCGAAATTTAAATGAGTACTCCTAATAGTTTTTTTTTAAATATAATATATTTAAAGCAATGTTTTGACATTCCGAATTTTTATGCCAGTGTGAATCTCAGTTTAAAATATTTCTACCTACGTATATGTGACGAATCAGATTCGAGTTTAATTTGACTCATACGAAGGCTATTATTACAGTAAAATAGTATGCGAAGATATTTAAATGTTTCTAGAGAACGGCTATAACCATCCAACACTCAGTTCTATTTATTTTTAAGACGGTTTATGTAATTTGACACTAATGTTATTAAATTTAAATGTTAAAGCGAAACAGTTAAAGTTAAAAATCGCTCAAAAACTTATTTTAACTGAATTATTTAAATAATTTAATTATTTGGTCGAATGGCGAAGTGGTTTGTGTAACGGACTGCTATTCCATAGGTCGCGGTTTTGATTCCCGCTCAAGTCAAACATTTGTGTGCAGAAACATATGTATAATGTTTGATTTGGTCTGGGTGTTTCTATGTATAATATGTATATATTTACAAAAAAAGTATATATGTATTTATATCAGTTGTCTAGTACCCATAGTACAGATATAGTTTGGGGCTAGATAGCTTTGTTTGAATGGTTTAGAATTTTATTATTATTATTATTTCAATAATAATAATCAACTAAATTTAATGAACCAAACAAAAAAATTAGTTTGCAAAAAATTCTAATTAACAAATGTTAGAATATTATATTTGATTCCAAATTGTAGTACGATACTGCATAAAAAAATTACTTGAAGCTATTTTAAATAAAAAAAAAACTATTAGAAAATAAATTAAAGCAAAAAAGCACCGCAAAGCACCAACACCAAAAGCCACAAAAGCACCGACCCAAAAAAACAATCATCAAAAATACACAAGCACAAAAATGCCACTCACATTACATTAACACAACAAACGAACTTAAATCTCCCTTTTGATAGAAGCACCGACTCATTCTCACCTTATAAATGGCGTTCGTCAGTGGACTCTGGAACTCACTCGTTGGTTGCAACGAGAAAGAAGTAATTTGGCAGGAATTGTCCAGGTTGTACCTAGACAGTACACTGAAGTACTTGTCTGTATCAGAAATAGACAAAGAAGGAGTGCCTATTGTATTCGGCGAAGCTCACAGAATTAGTTTTAATAAAAGTGCTTTTGGTTACACATATACGCCGTTGAATTTCGTCAGTATATATCATATTGATACAAGAAAAGGTTTGTATCTAGTTATAAAACATTTGCTATTGTTTTTCCTTCTAAAATACCTTTTGAATCATCACGCTCCTAATTTTCCTATTTAATTCCTAAAGTGTCCGTTTGACGGCATTTGCTTGATCCACATTAAAAGTAAGTGGAATTATATAAAATGTTGACGTATATTACTCGCCTGTCTACCTCTTAGGCCATTTTAAATTTCAATATACGTAACCTAAAATATACTATTTTAAGCAGTTCTGTTTAATATTTTTCACCAAAGTTATTGCTTGTTATTTTTTAGGACTTCTAAAATTTATACGTGGATTTTTTTTGCGGGGTATATTAATTTGGTTCTTGTAATATCTCTAAGCTTTATAAGAATGTTTCAAGGCTTGTATATTTATGATAAAATGTTATGAAAAGATGTAATCTTTTAACCAGAGACCAAATGAAGCAGGTTGTAACACTAAGAATGACTTTTCTATTCAGAAAAATCTCGTTATTTTAGAGAACAACTAATAATAGTCTTAATGAAACTAAAACTAGCATGAAATTATATATTAACAAGTAGCTAAAGACGTAATCAAAATAACAAAATGGCTATCTTGTTTCAAAATACGATGTTAATTAACAAACCATCTCTATCAAAAGCTTATGAGTGGCATAAGTAAAATTAAAACTACATGTTTTATCTAAAGTATTTAAAGAAAGACAGGACTACGCTGAATTGCAAATAGTAATATTACTATTAGTATTTTTTCTTTAGTAAATAAACTGATACTAAAGTATAGTTTCAGTTTATTTTAGGAATGCGGCTATGAACGTTGAACACTAACTGAATAAGACCGAAAAATGTTGATGCAAAGAAAATTCTTGGTAAAAACAATGTCTACAGATCGGAAACTGTACTTAATAATATAATATTTATTGTCTATACTAATCGCTAGAGTAATTCCACAAGACTACGAGTCTGAATATAAAAAGTGAAATGGAAATGAAGTAGAGAGATTTTCTTTGAAAACAGGATAAAGTCCTTGCCATCCGAAAATTAAAACCATTTAAATTATGATTGTAGTTAATCGTTCATGGTTTGAATGTGATGCATACCCATCAGCTGTCGTTTTAACCTTGTATCGGAGATTAAGATCCTTGTTTATGTTGCGATATTTTTTAATATCCGTTGGTTGACGACGAGAGTGTTCTAGGGGCTTTAATTTAATGCGTGATGGATTCTTGAATTCTTTTTTAATGTACGCCATGTGTTGAAATCTGCGTGACATTAATGTATTTAATAATTTCAACATGTTATCTCTTGTTTATTAATTATAAGTTTATTTAAAATCGCACTTCGTGTTTAAAAGATTTATTGTGAGTTAATTTGGCGTGTTATTCGATGAGCGGCCAAGGTCTTCCGCGGTTTCTAGGGTTTTTACTGTCTGAATAATAAAAAGATGTGACGGAATATTAGTCCGTTCCGCAGGGCACATCTTGTATCTTTTTAATTTGGTTTTTACATTTAATTATTCCTAATCCTGTAATGAAGACAGTAATTAGCTGAATTCAGAACCTTACTCCTTTGTTATTGTACAGTACATTGTACTATTATTTGTACAATCATACTACCGTATTTAAGAGATCGATGAAGCCACCATATCTTCCACAGTCTCTTGGTGTTTTTCAGCAGTTTTATCGACTTGATATTGATTTAAATAATAAACGTTTTACTTGAAGGAGATTGACTCTAGAAATATATATGAGAATAAAGTTAGTTTCTCCTTTTAAAATTCTGCTGAAAATGTATTTATAGGTGATGCTTTTGGTTTTTGTAAAACAGTAAAATTGATTTAAATTGTTTTATTCTTATACTGTTTACTCTATTCAGGATAATTTTAATAAAATTAAAAATCAACTTCGACTATGAGTGTAAAGGCACATCAATTTTCAACATCTGTATTATTTTAACAAAATCCGTAGAGTTTAGTTAAATTCCATTTTCTAATACTTTAAATAATTTAAAGTAATTTAAATTATTTAAAGTATTAGAAAATGGAATTTAAGTTCGAAAACAGTGTAGAGTAAATTAATGCGACTTTTTTGTCTTCGTGTGCGAAATGTATGCCATTGAAACAAATTTAAAAACCCTATAGCCCAATAAGAACTTAAAATTTTTATTTAAAGATTTTATTTTTATAAACTGACAGACTGCAACAAAGCTTCTTTCCTGAATTACCTATTTTTACTGTTGCAGCTGAAGTAAAAATGCCGAGCGGCCAAGTAGACACACCCGTCATTGAAGACAACAGGGACGGGACAGTCAGCATCAAATATGAGCCAAGAGAAGAAGGCGTTCACGAACTGTATGTTAAGTACAATGGAGAACACGTTCAAGGTGTGTACAACTACTATGACGGGCCCGTTGGTCTAGTGGTTAGTAGCCCGGGAGCCGGGAGGTCGTGGGTTCGATTCCCACCCAGGACAAACATTGTGTGATGAGCACGGTCATTTGTTCTGTGTCTGAGTTTAATTTATCTAAAATATGTATGTATTTAAAGCTATATAAGTATGTTTATCAGCAGTCTGGTTACCATAGCTCAGGCTCTGCCTAGTTTGGGATCAGACGGCCGTGTGTGAGATGTATGAAGTTATTATTATTATATTATTTTGGTTGATTTGGTTAACAATAACAGACCAAGTGGTACCGAACGCAGCGCTATAAACAACAAAACTTGTACAGTTGGTATAGTCTAACCGTACTCATATAATATACTATTACAGTTGCATGCTATGGATCAGTCAAGCGGTTTCAATTAAAATAGAAAATTTATTTGTACATCTTTGTACATCTTTTGTACACCGCTACAGTATATATTTTGTACAGACATGAATCGACTGCACGGATGGCGTAGTGGTTTAAGTTGTCGCCGCTTTCTACTACGCCGAGTGTTGTGGGTTCAAACCCCACATGGGACTACACTTTGTGTGATCCACAAATTGTTGTTCCGAGTCTGGGTGTTCTTTGTGTCATGTTCATGTATGTTTGTAAAGTCCCCAGACACAGGAATATATATTCCTAATGCGGGCGTTGTCTTTAAAAAAAATATGAATGGACATTTGGTACTCGTACAATAGGCGGTTTTATCGCTCACGGCGGTCTCTGACAGACCACCAGATATTGTCAAATCTGATTTTGGGTAGTCTATGGTTTACTTTTATAATCAGAGAGATCACCTAATAGTGTAAGTTTTCTAAGATAAAGTTAAAAAGCATTATATTTATCACCATTTAAATGGTCGTCGAATTGGAATCAATTCCTTGAAATAACATACAAAACTGGTATACTCATGTAGACCTAAAATGTACAAAAACCCTTATCAAAATGTACAATTGTAGAAATACATATTTAGATCAACATTTTCATTCTGGCAAAAGTTCTACGGCCTAAATCTAAAAAGAAAATTACTCTTTTCAATTTATCTTAATGCTTAAATTGTATTTTTTTTTTTATAATTTCAGGCTCTCCCTACAAGTTCCATGTTGATTCCATTGCATCAGGATACGTGACGGCATACGGACCCGGACTCCTGAATGGTGTCAGTGGAGAGCCCAGCGAGTTTACTATTAGCACTAAAGGTGCTGGGTCTGGAGGACTGTCAATGGCTGTGGAAGGTCCTAGTAAAGCCGAGGTAAGCTTACTACAATAAGGGTAGAAATTACATGACTTAGGGGAACTTTTTGCCATAAATTATTAGACATTTAGTGGCTCGTGCAGAAGATTGAATCCCGCTAAAAGTGTCTGAATTGAAGCATTGCTTGTAAGTAATAACACTCGCTTTCAGCTCTTTAAAAAATATAAAAAGAAATAGTATTGTAATTAAATAAAAATAAAAAAATCTCTTACGAAAGTCGCGTCAGTAAAGCTGTTGTAAATTGTATTGTCCACCGTTGCAAGCATCGAAATCCCTATCTTGAATTGATCTACGGGAACTAAGAGATCAGACCACAATATTGGTTGTCTAATTCAACTGTCCACCAAAAGTGTTTTATCCATCTACTATAAGCCAGCCTTGATCTTTATTTGACACAACTGACAAAACTTGTTTTACTCATTCCTGATAATTTCTTTTAGATCACATGCCACGACAACAAAGATGGCACCGTATCCGTATCATATTTGCCCACTGCTCCTGGAGAGTATAAAATTTCTGTCAGGTTCGGAGACAAGCATATCAAGGGCTCCCCTTTTCTGGCTAAGGTATGTATAATGTACATGTAAACTAAGGCTCTATGTGTGGTAACATGTAACTCACATATTAATCTTTTTGTGAGATTTTAATTCAGTTTGTGATTTTAAAAATGTGACATGATTAAGAGAAATAATACCTTCCATTATACAGGTTTACAAGATAAAAAAGTTAACAAATTCTTATTCCAGGTTACTGGCGAAGGTCGCAAGAGGAACCAGATCTCTGTAGGCAGTTGTAGTGAGGTCACTTTACCAGGAAAAGTCAGTGACAATGATATCCGCTCACTGAACGCGTCTATCCAGGTGGGTCTAATATAAATCAAAATGTAACCTCTTAACAAAGATATACTTAGATGTACTATTGGAACTGCATCGCGCAATGAAAATTCTCGGTCTGCGCCTGCGCGCGTCTTAAAATGCGCACCAAGCACCTAGCTTAATTGAAGTAACCTTCGTTGGTTTACAAGATACATAACTATCGTTTCAACACAATTCTATTTCGTTTTTATTCATTTAATTTACTAATAACTCATTTGTTTAAGAATAAATCGAATCCATCACAAAAGGACTAATTGCCAACAACGGTACCGAGATTTGATTAGGTTTAAAATTTAAAAGTTAAGTTTAGATAATAACCACTCACTTTTAATAACCGGCAGGCGCCTTCTGGCCTCGAAGAGCCCTGCTTCCTCAAACGCCTACCATCCGGAAACATTGGCATCAGTTTCACTCCACGCGAGGCCGGCCAGCACATCGTGTCTGTGAAGAAGATGGGTGTCCACATTCAGAACTCTCCGTTCAATATCACTGTCACAGCACAGGAAGTTGGTGATTCTAAGAAAGTGCAGGTGAGTAGTTTTTTGGGTGGGGATTGTAAACCACGTGGTTACTACACAAAACCAAAGAACAGACCATGCAATTATTTTGGAATATATTGCTTTGTAGGCAAAGTCTGTCGAAGTTTTGACTGGTAAAAAAACCAGGTCCTGTACTCAGTCGTGTAATTTGTATGTTGTACAGTCGTACTACAGTATTTAAGAGATCGATGAAGAGAGATACCTTTCGCAGTCTCTTGGTGTTTTTCAGCGATTTTATCGACTGGATATTGATTTGAATAATATTAGTACAGGTCCTCATCTCGATTGGCCCGCACTGAAACTAATCCCACCAATCAACTCTTCACCAATGGCAACGTTGAACGCGGTTATCTTAACGACCTAGTTGATGTGAAATTAACTCACACTAGGAGATCCGTTCTGACGGAGCAGTTTCTGTTTCTACAGTTTCTTTCGTTCTTCAGACGAGACAAGGAAATATAAAATACGTTTTAGGATTATAATGTTTTCGCATTTTCTTGCAATTTTTGTTTGCTTTAATTTAGCATTAAAATCTGAATACACACACTTGTATAATAGTTCATCGTTTACAATGATTTGTTACTTAATTCTTATTCTTTCTGTCTTTTCAGGTTTCTGGCAATGCCCTTAAAGAAGGCAAAACCCATAGCGAAAATACCTTCACTGTCGACACCAGAAACGCTGGATACGGTGGTCTATCACTATCTATTGAAGGTGAGTAAAGTCTCCGAGTACTTTTCTTTTTTAAAAGGCTTACTAGCAATCGAAATTACTGGTATTCCCGTTAACCCCTTCAGCTAAGCTAAATTGCTTGTGTTAGGAGTGGGTTCACGTCGGTAGTGTACTGGTCAGGATTCGAACCCACGACCTTTTGATCGCAATGCCTTAACCGCTAGGCTACCGTCACTTTAATTTATGATATATGATGATGACGATATTGGGCCGTATACTTGAATTAGAGATTTTAAATTTGGGAGCAGAAAAGAGACCTGTAGCCAGATAAATTACCTCTGTCTACAAAATCTTCGTGCTCAATACTATTCTAAAGCTGTATTTACTAGATCCGTCCTGCGACTTTGCTCGCTTTGATGTCGATTTACGGGATGGCCTATTTCTATTTAGTGCTAAGTCTCGGGTTTAATTCCCGGATTGGACTAAATGTTTGTATGCTCTGCAAATATTTGTTTCGGAGTTTTGTTGTTTTCTGTGTATAATATGTATGTATTTACAAAAAAAAGTATTCTATCAATCAATCTAGCTGTGATAGTACAAGTTCTGCTTAGTTTGAAACTAGATGGCGTTGTGTATTAGATATCAAAAAAATACTGTATCAAATTTCATTTCATTCAGTCGTGCTGGCAGGATGGATGGGTACATTTTTTTACGTAGGGTATGAAAAACCTACCCATCTATCCATAAAATCTTTTACATTAATAAATTAGTATAGATTAAAGGTCACCACAAAAACCACCCTCTATTTTAATGAGTATGTTTTGGATTGGTTTATATTTTTTTTCTGTCAATCTCTTTTACTATACTTGATTTTCCAACTCCCCAGGTCCTAGCAAAGCCGAAATTCAGTGCGCTGACGGCAAAGATGGTGTTCTTGCCATCAGCTACAAACCCACAGAGCCAGGTTACTACATTGTCAACCTGAAGTTTGCTGATCATCACGTTGAGGGTTCTCCCTTCACTGTCAAGGTTAGTAGATTGTCGATTACTTTTTGGTTTGCAAACAATCTTAGCTTGCAACCCCTAAGGAAAGCCTTTGGTCCTAAACAGTGCAGTACTAGGATTGTTACATATTCAATACCTTTATAATCCTTTTACAGGTTTCTGGTGAGGGTAGCAATAGACAAAGAGAGAAGATCCAGAGACAACGGGATCAAGCTCCTCTAACCGAAGTCGGCACTAACTGTAAACTTACCTTCAAAATGCCTGGTGAATACAGAGAATTGCGAATTAATTAGAATAAGAATAGTCATGGCCTGATTCTCAGGTACCATGCTGATACTATTACCTCACACTCTCTGAGACCTGGAAATGGATGGTTCTTACATATATTCAAATATATACTAATCTCTCTCACATACCCACTACTGTAACTCCTATACACCAGAATCAACAGCAGTGACCCACGAACACACCGAGTTATGAAACTCGGGAAGTCCCATGAAAAATTAAACGGTCTTGGAACCGCAATTAAATTAACCAGAAGTGAATTAGAGGAGTTGAAAATATAATAAATCTCTTTCATACTTAGACAAGTCCTAAGCTTTCCCAAAACATGGCATTTTACTTTCTCCCTCTTTTACCCAGGTATCACATCCTTCGACCTGGCGGCCACAGTCACAAGCCCTGGTGGAGTATCTGAAGACGCGGAAATCCAAGAAGTTGAAGACGGACTATATTCAGTCCACTTCGTGCCAAAGGAACTCGGTGTCCACACCGTGTCTGTCAAGTACAGGGAGATTCATATTCCAGGTGGGTAGTGGTTTTTCTTGGTTCGCTCTTACTAAAGAAGAGAAGAGAATGACAAAATGTAGAGGAATTGTTGTAAATAATACACAATAGACTTAACACTCGAGATCTGCTCAATAGATATGAAAGGACTGTTATTTTGTGATCATCTTATGATAAGATCCGACTTCTATCACATCACATCGACAGCCTTTAATAGTCCACTGCTGGACATAGACCTCTCCTTAGAAAGGAGGTTTTGGACTACTATACCACGCTGGCCCGACGGGTTTGTTTCAATTTTTCCTTCTCTTTGCCGTGCTGTTGTCCTGCGTCGTTTGCTCCCTTAGTCGGCTCTTACGACACCCACGGGATGAATAGGGGTGGTGATACTCCATATTCTTAATTCGTTGAAGAGCTTTGTTTTTCGTTACTTATTCTTTTCTTTTACGCTTAAAATACATGCATATAAAAATATAAAACTGTATTTATATAGAAATATATATGCCCGGTTAACTGCAATGCAGTCTTACCCGTTATTACGTAACTGGGACAATAATACAGTCGCCGAATATGAGCTTAGTACGCCTCTACACGCCCCGTTGGAGATAAGACACGCTAATGAATGTATGTTCTATAAAAGTTACACTATGGTTTGATTTTTTAATTCGCTCCTAAATAACACAAAAATCGTTTTATTCCCGAAGTGTGCAAAATTTTTAGTGTCGCTAATAAGGTATACGAAAACTTATATTATAAGATTGCATAATATGTCCGTGTGGTGAGGGATTAAGAATACGGAATGTCACCACCCCTATTCATCCCGTGGGTGTCGTAAGAGCCGACTAAGGGAACAAACTACGCGGGACAATAGCACTGCAAAGAGAAGGAAAACTTGAAACAAACCCTATACTAACCCGTCTGTCCAGCGTGGTATAGTAGGCCAAACCCTCCTTTCTAAGGAGAGGCCTATATCCAGCAGTGGACTGTTATAGGCTGTTGATGATGATGAAGATGATGATATGCACATATAAAAATGTTCAGTTGGTTGGTTTGTGTAAGCTTCAAAAACTGACAAAGTTCTACACCGTTTGAACTTAAATTTTTAAACGAAATACATATAAATATAACCTCAATGGGTCACAGCGAAGCGTGACTGGGAACAACTATTTAGTTATACATATATATTTATAAACTATTTGTGTCTACCATGGCTTGTTTTTTAATAGCAGTATAGAAAGAAAGTTCAGATTCCAGTTTTCAAAGTATAAATTAGTCCAACCGTTCTAAAAATTAGGTGACAAAATCTTACAAACACACAAAGAGAGAATTGTATAATTCATTGCCAATATATCGTGTAAATAAATATACCAGATGTGTTTATGATGTAGGTATATATTTTTTTACTATTATCTTGTTAAAACTTAGTCATGTAATTAGTACAACAGTCTATATTCAAATATAAGGTACTAATTGTTTATGGCTAAGCAAATTAAGTAAAAATCTTTAAATTATTTTACTACACAGAGAAACTCCAATTTGTAATCAACAATTCATCAACAACAATCAACATTTTAAATCGTGAAATTTAATTTATACTAATTGAAATATTTCCAGGATCCCCATTCCAGTTCACAGTGGGTCCTCTGAAGGACTCAGGAGCTCACTTAGTCAAGGCTGGAGGACCAGGTCTTGAGCGCGGTGAAGCCGGACGGTTCAACGAGTTCAACGTGTGGACGAGAGAAGCCGGCGCTGGTCAGCTTGCGATATCCCTCGAAGGACCTAGCAAAGCTGAAATAGACTTTAAAGACAGAAAGGACGGATCCTGTGACGTCTCCTACAAAATTGAAGAGCCTGGTAAGTGGATAATTTTTTAAATTAGGAAACGCAATTAAATGGGCATTATGGCATGATCTAATACAGAGTAGTTTCTACAAACTTCTTTTGATCTCAAAATAAGATTACTTTAGACTAACGTCTAGATAGACGTTTGTCCGAATAAACTTTGCAGATAAAGAATCATAGCAATTTACAAGTAATGTTCTACTTACAAGTTTGCCAGCACTACATTACCGATCAGTTAGGTAATCCCTTTATAACATTTCTGATATCGAGAGTAGATCGGTACTGATTTTGACAGAATTTTTATTACGAGAATTGTTCTTCAGACTCGTTCACGAAAACACAATATTGTAGCACATTATCGACAAAGTCTTTCTATTCTGGAACGTCCACTGCTTAGAATAGACTTCCCCTAAAGAGTTCAATATAATACAAACCTTCTAAATAATTCTATCTTCTAACTTTCACCCGGTAATCAAGTATTTTGAGAGTGATACAAGATACAAGATATTTTATTTGCTTAAACATGTGTACATTAAAGATGTTAAATAATATTGCCTGATCAACATGTTTGACCGTTACCGGTGTACAAATATAAAATTATTTTAACAATATCATCTTTCTACATGCAACATAAAATCGTTTAATAACATTTAAAAAAAAAACAAACAATTACAACGAAAGGACTCGAATATCATGGTTATAGATATACATTATCAACTATTGACCGTCTATATTAATTCATTTAATCTAAAACATTCAATTTCAACATAAATATATTTACTGCCATCAATAATATAATCCATCAATCATACAAAAAAGCGCAAAAAATCAGTTAAACTAATTAGTAACTTGGCTAATATAAATATCATGATACATTATATTATTATGGTGGAAATCCTCTGGTCTATAATAACAATTTTCAGCTAGTAATGTTTTAAATTTCGTCTTAAATTAATTCATGTCCAAGATCTTAATATATTTGGGAATTTTGTTAAATATCAACGGCTCCTTACATACGACACTTTTATGCATCAGGGCTGTTTTTGCTGGATGGACACAAAGGCTATCATTGTCGCGGCGATTACGGCTTACATTGTCCGATACCTATATATTGGGACGGTAGTGTGAGAAATTTGTATTTTTTAAAGATTACATCTTTACAAGTCGAATTTGCACAGAAAATAATGCCATATTTATTTATTTATCTTTGTGCACTTTTGTACATCGTCGGACTTAATGCCCAGGGCATTCTCTTCCAGTCAACCTTTGGGTGATGTAGAAATCTTGTAAGGTAGGTGCACAGAGGTTACATCATAATATCAAATGTACAATGAAAATATATACAGTTCACTACATATATAAACATATACACACATACTACACTTACACATCATAAATAGGTACGCATAGATACACACATATTTATATAGATACATAGACATATCTTATTCGTACACTATGAAAACCTGAATATACTTAACTATGGATTAGACCGTTCTGCCATTTCTTTAAGAAGGAGAGCATGTACCTTCTTTTTGAATATAAAGCCGTATATACCATATATCAGGACCGACTCAACAAGGTGAGTCGGTCCTGAAATATGGTGAGAGAAGTGCATCAGTAGTAACTATTGGAGCAAGTTTAAATAAGGCATATGATAGACTGCTGATTCTTTTACTTAATGTTTCAATGTGATCTTTCCAAGCTAATTTACTATCTATAGTGTGTCCTGCGATATTCTCTATAGAGGTTTGTCCACAATTTGTGCTTATAAGACAAGACAATCTCTTCGATCAATAGTTCATAATTAATAGACCTTTAGATGAATAGAATTAGCTACATTTATATTTTGGTGATTTGGCGTAAGATAAACGCCCACTGCCCTTAAGCACCCTAAAGACGGAGTCGGACTCTTACTGACTAAAAGAACACTCCTGTGTTTTGCTGCTAGGCTATAATCGGGGAAACGAGAATTACAATTGCATTCATCTTAGCCCAATAGGTATTATTGACTTGTATCATCACTGAATGTCCTTTCTAAATATTTTTCCAAACATCAATGTCTAACCAGCTTTTACAAATATATAAATTTTAAATTAGTTTAAACTTTCTTATTACAAGCCCCTCCATACGTAAAAGCATTCGAACATCGTAAATAAACTGTTGTATTTCAATTAACCACGCCTACATATGGCTGACCAATCGCGACCGTGCGCGGTAAAATTTATTGTAAGACCATTTTGACAGTTCGATTTTTAGAGTTCCGTGCACAGGTAGACAGTGCATACGGCCTATTCCGTATCCTGTCACGCTTAAGTTTTTGCAAGTATAAACTAAGCAAATTTATTTTAGTTCACTGCAGTATTTATAGAAAGGCTTAAAAAGGACAATAAATGTTATTAAAAGAATACCTACATAAAACCACACATTTTTAAACTACATTAGATAAATAATATTGCCTCTAATTATTTGATGTCTTAATTCTATTTAAAAAAGTTCAAGCTTTGAAGTTCATTATTAAACTTTGCACTTTATAATTTAACTATAAATCCCACAGAACTCTTTCCCTTCCACCTTCTACTCGAACTTGTCTGATTACTTTTTTATTATATTTTCTTACTGACCTCAGAGGGCGCGTTCGTTTTTTAAACCACAATGCTTGTCGCGTTTTCGGCACATTATCCTACCGATTTACGATGATGTTTTTGCTAATGAAACTCGTAATTCTTTGAACATTCTTGTTTTTTATCATTTTATTTGTTTTGATATTGTTTGTGACTGACCGATTAAAGTGTAGTAAGATTATTTGGGTATGTAAGTATTATAATATTTATGTGTTTTCAAATATATTATAGTATGCAGTAAGTATATATTGCTTTGATTAACTAGCTTTTAATCCAGGCACTGGGAAAATTCAATATTATATCACTTCAGAAATTGGTTAACTTGCTCTCGAATAAAGATTATAATATTATTTTTACGAACGTGGCTTCTACGTTGCAATATTTAATGAGACTCACTTATTTAGAAACAAACAATGAAATAACATTATTAGATATGCCATCGCGTCGCCGTAATGTTACAATTTGAGAGCGAATAGCAACCTAATTATCCTAAGTCACATTTGGTTGTTCTAAATTTACCATAAACAATTCTTGAAATGTCGGAAAATGTTTTATTTGTGGTAATACAAAAAAAAAAAATTTTTTTACAAAAAAGCCATTGTTTTTATTTGATTAATAGAAATGTAGCTATTGATCTTTTCTTGGTATTAACTTAAATAATTATAGTCCTAAAAAAAACAAATTGTATGTAAAATTAACAAACATTAACAAAATTACATACAACATATTCTCATTTTTATTCATGTAAAGAATAATACTATTCGCAAACATTGGCCGCGGCAGTTTGTTATTTACCTTGACTCTGAAATTTCAATAGGTACGTAGTCTACATTTTTGAATTTTGATCATAAGTTCAAGCGCCCTAAACAACATGGCTATTGTATAAATTTCATATTTATTGAAAATTCATTTGCAAATAAATGTTAACGAACGTTACCTAAATGTTGTTAACTGGATTCATCTTTGTGTCATTAAAATACCACTATAATGAAACAGAGATTATTCGTTGTGTTTAAAATATTGTTAGGAGAATTCTAAATCACTTTAATTATTGTTACTATATCCTCATAAGTATTATTTTTATGTTAGCGTAGGAGTTATCTTGGTACTTTTACACAAAAAATATATTTTCTTCTGATATTCTGTGAGAAATCGCGTGACTAGACTAGACAAGACGTTTTTACATAATATGATTAATTTCTATTAGATATTACTTATATTCACGTATTTTACGATTACGAGTATTTAAAACAAGCCTTAATAGCATTTAAATTTCATTTTCACGAAAACACACTATTCGTTAGTTTTCTTGATATCATTATAAAACTACTATTTGCAGCAAGAAAATTAAAAATTTAAATTTCTCATATTTTACTTTACTATGAATCAATTACTACAGTTGTACAGTGTAAAATAGTAGGCCAAAACCTCCTTACTAAGGAGAGGCTTATGTCCATCAGTGGACTAGTAAAGGCTGTTGATGATGTGATGTGACTAAAAGGGTAGGTAAGTAATTATTACTCCCCACAGATAAATATATTAGTTATTAGTAGATATTAAAACTAAAGTGCCTTTCGAATATCTGAAAGAGTATTAGGTTTGTATATAACATTGTTTATACATAAAATAGGATACGACGGTCGTGTTTGTCTTAACGCTACTCACTGCTAAGCCAGAGACCGTTGGTTCGATTCCCACCTAGGACAAATTATGTGTGATGGGAACGATAATTCGGTTTCTGTCTGGATGTAATTTATCGTTATTTAAAAATATACAAGTATGTTTAGAAATATATATGTGTGTGCCATTAGCCTATTAAGTGGGACTAAAATAATAGTCCAACGCAAAATCTAGGCTTTGTGCGTTATGCATCCCTCCAAAAATCCCCTTGAAATCCATTGTTTGGTTCAGGAGGGGGCTCAGCTTGGTAACTCAGGTCTTTTCACTGCAGACACCAGTCTCTCACGAAGGAAATAACTAAAATTTGTATAAAGTTATTAAATTATACTTATTTTTGGGAAATACATAAAAATATATGACCTCTGTATTTCAAACAAAATAAAATAGCAGAATTAATCTCAATCAAGAAATCAGAGTTTTATAAATTCCACAACAATCTTCTTCTACGTGTCTCTGCTTTCTCTTTCATTGACATATAACTGTGTACTGTGTACGAAAATGCCCAAAACTCCTCTTATACTTCGGGGAAAACTTAAACTAATTATAAAAAAAGGTTTACCACGTAAAATATAAAAAGCCATTGTTGGATAAAGATATTAAAGCAGTCAAACCATCATAACACTATTTTACAACACCGTAATGTAGTCTAACTTTGGCCCGTCTGCCAAAAACTCGTCTCAAAGAATCAAACGTGACATTCCATCATAG